CCTCAAGACAAAACAAAACCATATAAGAGACTAAATACAGATATAAGTGTTGAACATTAACAATAACAATGTAACCTTGCTGGGTTACTTCAATAGTTACCTATAATAGTCAGCAGGATCGTTGTTGACTTTCCATTACCAAGCTCATTTGTGGCCACACAGTAATAACGTCCTCCCTCTGTGGCATTAAAGCTGTCAATCTGTCCCTGTGAGACGTTCATGTCTCCATCTTGGCTCTCCTTGAACCAGGTGAAGCTGCTGACGGGAGGCTGGGCTCTGCTGGAGCAGCTCAGCTTCACCCAGCTGCCCGCTGACACCAAACCTGAGGACGGACTGACGGAGGCGGAGGTGTCCTTAGGAGCATCTGAGGAAAAATGTGACATTAACTTCATTCAAATCATACTATCATGTGCAGACAATCACAGGTTGTTCTTACATGAAACATGGAGAGTCTTTGTCTCCTCTGCTGTCTTCACATCTTTCCCTTCATTCACAGGATAGCTGGCAGAGCAGGTGATGTTGAATCCATCATGTTGGTCTGTCAGAGTGACGTTCTTCTGGATCTTAGTCGTGAAGGTCCGATCTGGGTTTTCCTCCATTGTGTTGGGAGGGTCTTGTTGGAGAGTCCAGGTGAGTTTAGGAGGGGAGTGTGGACAGGGAGCTGGAGCTGAGCAGGTTACAGTGACAGACTCCGCCTCCTTCAGATCACCTGGGTTTGAAATGTTAATTCTGGGGCTTGGAGGAGAATCTGTGGTTGAAAAATTATCAGATTATACACTGAAAAACACTGTGCTGTGTTTTTAACCTTTAACCTTTGTGTAAGTGTAAGTTCTCATGTAATCTCCCATTAATAATTTCAGGACCTTTTAGTTTTATCTTGGAAGGGTAACAAAGTGAACAAAGTCACATTCATTTAGATTTTTCCTGTTACTGCTACGGTACTTCCCCTAAGCATGTGATGCAGTAAAGTTCTGCATTTACAGAGTCTATTGATAGTGTATTTAGTCAGACATTCAAATCAATGACACCTGGTTTCTGTCACATTTAACCAGAAGTAGAAGAATACTCGGATCCTTAGTAAACTAAACTAAACTAAACTAAACTAAAACTAAACTTAACATAAGTAAAATACTATGTTTTTAAAATATTCCATTATGAATTCAAAATGTTACTGAAGTATTGGAGCAAAAGTGTCATTATCAAAATGTATGTGTTAAGTACTTGATTAATAATGACTATGAAGGGCATCATATCATCAGCATATCATGTGATTTATATGAAAAAAGTAACTGTGTTAAATAAATCTAGTGGACTAAAAGTATGACACTTGCTTCCAAACTGTAGTAAAGAAGCAGTATATCTACCTTAAAATGGAAATACTCAAATAAATAATTGAGTAACTGTACTTAGTTACAATTCACCACTGTTTTACCCAGCACTCATACGGTTGAACAGCCTACAGCAGAAATAGATAAAGTTCACTACGTTTGCTGTTTAGACGAAAATGGCACCTGATTTAACTTTTTATTTAAAATCAAAATTGTATAGAATCTCTCACCTTGAACTGTTATTTCTAGAGAATCACAATCAGCTGTTGCCAGAAATGGTCTTTTCTCAACTCTGAAGAAGTATCTGCCCGTGGAACTTGTGTTTAAACTGTGAAATAAGGTTGTGCAGTCTCTCTGACTCAGGTCTCCGGTGATTTTCATTAGGTCGCTGATTTCTGCCTTGCTACTGTTGAAAATCACTTTGTCTGGATTGTTGGCAAAGTCAGCAGTGCCATTCATCCACACTCCGAAGGATTTTCTTGAGCCATTAAATGTGTCTTGAACGCTGCTGTTAGTACTGAAGTTACATGGGACATGAAGACAGGATCCATTTAGTGCTTCCATCTCCTGAGGGGTTGTTAGGAGCAGGTGAGTCTGACACTGAGTGTTAGCCCCTGTGAAACAGATTCTGTTGTGATTTACATGAACAAATCTTCATGAATGGAGCAGTAACACTTCCTTTGTTTAGCACCTGCCCTACCACTATCCTCCAACCATGAAAAACAACATAAACATGTGACGATTTGAGAGCAATGCACGCGAGCCAATAAATTACACATATTTTAAAAGTTGTAAAACATAAGAAAATAAAAACTATATTTAAATAACAACAATACAATTTAATTAAAAAGGGGATTAATAAAATCACATTCATATTTTACAATTTGAATACAATACAAAAATAATAAATAAAATAACAATAACATTTTAGAATATAAAAAGGTGATCAATATAATTACAATGACATTTTACAATTTAAATGTAATTAAGTGAATTAAATAATGTAATTTTTTTTATAAACCATTCTTAATCAAAGGCCTGGCTAGGTGCGTTTTTAAGTTAACTTTTAAGATGTCCAGCAGCTCGTATAATAGCTAAAAGGTCTTGACAAAACACAAACGTTTTCTGTTTTTTTTTTAAATCAAATGAATGAATTAAAGCATTTTCCTGAAGTAAACATGGAACAAAGAGCTCACCTGAAAGGAAGAAGAGACTCAGTAAAATGTTGGCTGTCACCATTCTCACAGACTGGACTGCACTGAATGTCATAACCTAGATTTCAAGCAGAACAATGCAGTTACTCTCAGAGTGCACCGAGCTTTGCACAACCACAATGTTCTGTGGTTTAACTGACTTACTTCTGCAAGGCCAATCTGCATCTAACAAAATAATACAACTGTTAGTTAGACAAGAATAAATAATGTTTTCTCACCAAAGTAGCCCACATCAATAAAAGAGCAACACTTAGATCCTTTGGTTGGCACGTTAAAGGTAACAATGGTTAAAAGTGTTCACTTTCCCTAATAGTAAAAGTGTTCACTTTTCACAAACTAACTTCCTTTGTTGAAGCTGTGGTCATTGAAGTCGACTTCCTATCATTTGAGAAGAGACAGGATGTGCAGTTGTTTACAGCAGAGATGCTTCTATTGGCTAGCGCTCCAACATGTTGTACGTGATAGGCTAAGGGGCGGGACATCTCAAAGCAGTTAATCAATCATAACAGGTCCGGCCAGCTAACCAATCAGAGCAGACTGGGCTCTGGTTTCAAACAGAGGGTGAAAAGAGGTGCTGCAGCACAGGCAGTATGAGAAAAATAAAGAGCTTTTTGAACATTACAGCATGGAGACATGTCACGGTGGAGGAACTAAATACAAAAATGAGCAGAATAGGGCCCCTTTAAAATAGTTTGCTTGAATAAAAGTAAGTCATGCAGTCAGATTTAAATAAAAGATAGTACAAGTACCTCAAATTGTATATAAGTATAGTTCTGGAGTAAATGTTCTAAGTGTGGGGGAAACTTCGGAAGCAATTGGAAACAGGACTCAGAGAGACACGAGGAGAGCTGGAGCTTTGATGGCAAACACTGACGGTTTATTTGGAGCTTCGTGACAAGACATGTCACGGGCCACGATCTGACCACACGGTTGAGATGCCAAACCAATTCTGAAGATCTCTACCCCAGACCCATGTATTTCAATCAGGAGAGACTTAGTTGAAGTTGATAACATTTGTATTGCCGTATGCACAATAGTGTTTTTGGAGATTAGACCCCCTCATACAGAGATGAATTAAGGGGGGAGGAGAAGCCGACTAGAAAGAGAAACCCCCCCGGGGTCTAGACACTGGTGGTGGTGTTTACTAATAAAAATAAAGTGATGAGGGTTCTTCTGGGCTATCCTGCCTTGGATCTGAAAACTGGAGGTGAAGGAGGTGGAGGAGGGGTGCATCAATTCTCCTGAACGATGCTGGCAGGGGAGAGAAGAGCAGATTTAAACGTTTTGCCGGGTGTGCTGTGATTGGCTGTGGGGAATGAGACGCAGCCGATCGGTTTAGCTGGGGTAAGTTGCGCATTTGCTTAATTGAGAAAAGGGGCGAGTGAGTGAGGGAGAATTGTGAATGAGAGCGTGGGAACCAGTCTTCCTGAAAGAACTTGCGCTGAGCTTCATTTAGCTAGTTCTGAGAGCATTATCAACATTGTGCACAACAAGATAGAACCATAGTACCTCTATCAGCTGACGCCAACAGGCAGGAACAGGGAGACAAAACACTGAGAGCACAGCAGCCAAGGTTACAGGTGTGTGTGCTCAGTCAGGACAGTTTAAACTGATAAACTGGGTCAAAGTTATGGGCCTTGGAAAATATTTCCCCAACACTTAGTTACATTCTAACACCCATCTTATTAATTGTTGTGAGGAAAGCTACTCAAATTTAAAATGACTAAATGAAATAGAATAATTAAAAAAACAATCAATAGAGTTTAATGTATTTCTACTTATTGCCTTTCAGTCCTGAACTCAATCATGGTAGCAAACATTAACATATTGTCAGTGCCATTTCCTCAGTGCGAGTGTGAGAGAAAAAGAGAGTTAAAGAAGTTGTAATTTTAACACTCATATGGACTCAATCATAACATAAACTAAACCACAACTTCCCTAACATGGTATACAATGATCTGATGAAACACAGACAGTAATGCCTGTGGCACTTGATTGGTTTAAAAATGACGATAGCTTGCAACACCGAGGAGAAAAAGGAACTGTCACTCTCTTTGATGACCACATGCAGAAGGAACTCTGTAAATTGTGACATTGAGGAATTAAGGTGTTGTAATGGTGAAATATGAGCATAACGATTATTTAAAGGTGCTTAAAATATATTTTATTTTGGTGAATATAAACCAAATAAATGTGTGCATCATTCAAATTGATTCACAATACATAAATAAGAAAACATTTTACGAGATGCACGAGTGCTTCAAGTGTTATTTAGATGTGTTCCATTTTTAGAGCTTGGCCCATACTATCACAATGTGAGCCCAACACACACACACACACACACACACACACACACACACACACACACACACACACACACACACACACACACACACACACACACACACACACACACACACACACACACACACACACACACACACACACACACACACACACACACACACACACACACACACACACACACACACACACACACACACACACAGTAAAACAGTCCAGGTGTCAATTTCTACAAACTTGAGCTATTCAATAATGTTTATCTTCGAAATGTTTTAATGGATTTTGTGTCTTTGCATCATTTCTTCACTTGAGCGTAGAGGTCCTCTGGTTGCTTAGCAGCCTGTGTTAGGCTGTCTGCTGTGTGTGGCACTTTGACCTGAGCGTACAGCGTTTCCTCCTTCTGTCCCCCGTCCTGCACCGGGACAGGGGTCGACCCAGGGGTCTGCTTGGAGAAATCGATCTCTCCGTAGTGGATTTCCTCTGCCGGCTCTTCAAGAGTCAGCTCTTCATTCTGTAAAAACGTAAGCAGCGCAGCAGCAAATATGTCTGTCAAGGAAGAGCTAAAAAGATGATTCCTCTTTTGTGGTTTGTACAATCTTTCACCACATCATGTTAGAAACAGGATATTTGTACAGATCTGTTGCGTTTCTTCCTCTTTTTTACTCGTGGAGAAACTTAGACATCTGATTACAGTATACAGTCCATTATTGTAAACAATTGATTCCTACCAGACTCTGTTGTTCAGTTGAGCACGTCCAAAACCCCCGTTTCCCACGCAACAGAGCGCTGTAAATAAAAAAGTCGATAAGAAATTATTCAGGAAATTAGAAAATGTGTACCTTGAATGCTTTGATTTGTGAGACTTACCAAACAATGACAACCAGGGAGATGAGTAGGATGATCCCAATGATGACTCCCTGATACGCTGGCTCCATTATAGATGGCATAGGTTTCATTTCATTTTCATTTCCATCTTTATTTCAAACAGATTAAAAAAACAAAAAAAACAGAATACCGTATTGTTAGAATACAGTATTTATCAATATTCATAATAATATTTATATATTCAACAAAAAATAATGTATATTCAACTAAAATATTCATATGAATAATAATAATAAATCATATGTGTCCGAAAGGGAGCGGGAGGAAGCAAATGCTTATTAATTCCCACCCCTTACTTACTGCTGATCAATGATTATCCTTTAAATCATTTCTGCAAGTTATTCCTACTTACATATTTACATTTATACATTTACAATCATTTCTCATCTTCAATCACCTTTCTTCATTCTCAAAGTTTTCCAAAAAAGTGTTTCTGTACATCCTTTTAAACTGAATGATATGTGTGCTTTGTTTGAACTCCTGCTCCAAACCGTTCCATAAAATCACCCCACAGATTGGTATGCACATACTTCTTTCTCACAGTTGTTCTGACCTTGAGTTGTTTCAAATGTAGATTTCCTCTCAAATTATACCCACCCTCTCTGTCTATGAACAATGTTTGTAATTTCCTAGTAAACTATATTTTTGGTTTACTGTCCTATAGTGTACATTGGAATGATTTCAAACCTGTATTTATTTATCCTAATAATTATAAAGAAATGCCTTGGAAATATTTGTTTACATAAATTGTGACCAAACCGTTTGAGACCCACTGAGATAACTTAGACTAAAGTGAACTATCTAAACACTCAGAGTCCTTTAGCTCACTGAGCTGTAGTTATCAGCCTCAATCCAACAACAATCCGCGGTACCGATGCACGCCCTCTCTCTCTCTCTCTCTCTCTCTCTCTCTCTCTCTCTCTCTCTCTCTCTCTCTCTATCTCTCTCTCTCTCTCTCTCTCTCTCTCTCTTCTCTCTCTCTCTCTCTCTCTCTCTCTCTCTCTCTCTCTCTCTCTCTCTCAACAAAGCACTTATATACTAACAAAGGACTGGCTTATCTAAAGCTAGTTGAGTAGCACTTGAAATGTTTTGGCTCTATGAAACCTGATGTACTTATATGATTCTGTTTTCTTCTAGTTTGTATCTTCTTGATCGAATGCACTTATTGTAAGTCGCTTTGGATAAAAGCGTCAGCTAAATGCAATGTAATGCAATGTAATGTAATGTAATTTGTTTTATGTTTTCCAAATAGCATAATCTTAGTTTTGCTTATATTTAATGATAATTTGTTCTTATCAAACCAATGTTTGACTTTAATCATTTTTGCTGTTATACCTTAGCTGTTTCAAATTGTCACTAGAACAAAAAATATTAGTATCATCTGCAAATAAAATAAATGTCAGTATATTTGATCCTCTGCAAATATCGTTGATGTATATGATGAACAGCTTTGGACCCAACACAGACCCCTGAGGTACTCCACAAGTTATGTTCATGTATTCTGGTTTATGTTCACCTATTTCAACAAATTGTTGTCTGTTGTTTAAATAATCTCTCACCCAGTCTAATCCCACCCCTCTGAGGCCATACCTTTCCAGTTTTGTCAGTAAAATGTTGGGATCTATGGTGTCAAATGCTTTTTGTAGGTCTATAAATATTCCCACTGCTTGTTTTTTATTGTCCATGCAGATGGCTATTTCCTCACTTAATTCCATTAGTGCCATAGTTGTTGATCTGTCTTTCCTGAATCCATATTGACTGTCGTTCAACAGCTGATGTGTTTCCATGAAAGTCTTTTTGTAAAAACCTTTTCAAGGATCTTGGAAAACTGGGAGAGCAAAGAAACAGAGCTTTCATTTGTGTAATGGTGTTTATCCCCAGTTTTTATATAATGGTATAACTTTAGCTATTTTCATTTTATTAGGGAATTTACCAGATTGAAAAGACAAGTTACTTAGAGGTTGCTCTAAGTATTGAAACAAACTAAATATAAGTGGCTACTTAAAGAAGACGTGTAACTAATGTAGCAGAAGTTCCACTTTTTAAACCTGGTTTTGGAGAAAAATCTGATGAATTGAAGTAAATAGGTGAAAGGTTGAAAGGGTGAACAACAGCAAAACTATATTGAAACATTATTTTGCAAGCTCTAAAATAATTTGGGGAGTCAAATCCAAATGTTTAATGTTTAAAGGGTGTTTTATTTTTTTTAGATTAGCCATTTCTCAAGAGTTCAATGTCAAACGGGTTTAGTAATATATGAGAAGTATGTTGTTGTTGTAGTGTTTCTTTAAAGGTCAAAGTTAGAGGGTCCAGTCCTGTTACCTTTGAGTTTAAGATGGATCGTTGTTGACGTTCCATTACCAATCTCATTTGTAGCCACACAGTAATAACGTCCTCCCTCTGTGGCATTAAAGCTGTAAATCTCTCCCTGTGAGACCTTCATGACTCCATCTTGGCTCTCCTTGAACCAGGTGAAGCTGCTGACGGGAGGCTGGGCTCTGCTGGAGCAGCTCAGCTCCATCCAGCTGCCCGCTGACACCGAACCTGAGGGCCGACTGACGGAGGCGGAGGTGTCCTTAGGAGCATCTGAGGAAAATGTGACATTAACTTCATTCAAATCATACCATCATGTGCAGACACTCACAGGTTGTTCTTACATGAAACATGGAGAGTCATTGTCTCCTCTGCTGTCTTCACAGCTTTCCCTTCATTCACAGGATAGCTGGCAGAGCAGGTGATGTTGAATCCATCATCTTTGTCTGTCAGAGTGACGTTCTTCTGGATCTTAGTCGTCAAGGTCCGATTTGGGTTTTCCTCCATTGTGTTGGGAGGGTTTTGTTGGAGAGTCCAGGTGAGTTTAGGAGGGGAGTGTGGACAGGGAGCTGGAGCTGAGCAGGTTACAGTGACAGACTCCGCCTCCTTCAGATCACCTGGGATCTCAATGGTGGGGCTCGGAGGAGAATCTGTGCAGGTTTAAAATAGAATTAGTAATTAATCGTTCTGTTTTCGCTATAACATTATGATATAAAACCTTACCTTTAACTGTTATTTGAATAGGATCGTCAGAAGCAGTTGCTATAAATGATTTCCTCTTAAATCTGAAGAAGTATTTGTTTGTGTAACTTGTGTTTAAACTGGAAAACAGAGTGTTGCAGTTGTTCTCTCTCAGGTTTCCAGTGATATTCATTGGATAGGTGTTCTTTGCCTTATTACTGTTAAAAATCACATTTTCTGGATGTTCTCCAAGGTGCTCATGGGTGTTTTTAATCCACATTCCAATTCTGTTGTCAATCCCTGTTTCTTCTGTAGCACTAAATGTACACGGGATGTGTAAACAGGATCCACTCAGTGCCTCCATCTCCTTCGGTGCAGTAATGGAAAGGTCTGTGCAATCCATAGAACCTGTCAAACCAGACTCAGAAAGGGTAGAAAAATCAGCATGAATAGACAAACTAAATATACCTCAGCAGCGGGATGTTGCATGCAGTTTTTCCCACACCAATGTTGGTAGACAAGCTCACCTGAAATAAAGAGGATGTGGATTATCACGATTTCTGTTGCAGACATGGCTCCCAGCTTCTAAGTTGGAAAACAAAAACAATAATGCTGACACTGTTTAAACAGGTTTTAGAGCTAATACAAACCGGAGTCATCGTGTTGAACAGAGAAACCGATGCTAAAAATGTAAACGCTGATGATGCAAATTATTCCTTCTCAGTCTTAATTCTGACAAACAAAAGGATCAAATTAAATATTAGATCATTTAATGTTTGTTTTTTTAGTTCATGATGAAGAGTAATATTTAACATAATTTAATAAAATCTGGAAATGTTCTTACCAAAAAATCCTATATGAAAAAGAGAGATGCGATGAGACTCTTCTGTGGGAAATGAATATCAGAGGGTGAATTTGAGCTTAAATGCAAATAACCAACTTCCTTGTTTAGGGTGTAATTTAACCCCGGGGATACTTCCTGTGTTTCAGCTCCACGCAGAAAGTCCTGCTGGTTTAGTGGTACCAGTGACCTACATTAAAAAAACAGGAAGTACATGTGAAACATCAGAAATCCTTTATTCTTCCCGCAGTGTGGACATTTACAGCAAAGTAGAAGAGTTATATATTATATAAAAAGGCAAGTTAAAAATAAAATGTAATAATAAATAAATAGACTATGGTAAAACAAATATGCAGCAGTGTCTAAAAATAATATATCACATTAAAAAACAGAATACTGCAAAAAAAAATTCTAGCTCTTTATGCAGAATACAAAATATATCATTAGAATATTTTAAATTGAAATATTATTAATTTGTGGCATTACATTATTTAAAATATAATATTCTTCTGTTTTTATCACTAATTCATGACTTATTTTAATGTAGTATTGTGTTATTGTGGAGCAAATGTAAGATACTTTCTTTGCAACTGGGTAGATGAGTTGAATATTACAAATTCATATCACATCCTTTAAATAAAAGTAACTATATGACATTAAAAGAAGGGGACAGTACCCTACAATACACCACTGCGTTAGGACCTCCATGTGAGCAACAGTGACACCCAGTGGACACACTCTATATTACAGGATCTGTAATGAAACTTAAAACACTGCAACGGAACTCATGCCATGTCTTACATCCAGTGGTGGAAAGTAACTAAGTACATTTACTAAGTACTTCACTTAAGTGCAATTTTGAGGTACTTGTATTTTGAGTATTTCAATTTTCTGCTACTTTATACTTCTTCTCCACTACAATTCAGAGGTCAATTGTGTACTTTTACTCCACTACATTTATTTAATACCTTTAGTTACCTTGCAGATTTGGATTCATGATGTGAAATATATTTACACATGTAGTCTTGTTTTTGTAAATTGTGTTTATTTGATGGATTCATTTTTATTAAGTAGCATACTGTACATTTGCACCTCTTTAACTTAGAAGCCCCTGATAGCTTTGCATCATCCTCTGTATAATTATAAAATAGGCAACAATACACATATTTAGCTATAATTAATGAATATTTTAACACTGTCAAAACTTCAACACCCCCCCAGCTGTCATCAGATGGTGATTAATACGATGCTAAATCTTGATTGGTGCACAGAAACAGGTGACATCATCTTTTCCAACCTAAGCCACACCCATGTCAAACTAGTGAGAGCCTCCATGGAAAAAAGACTCATGTGAATTTCAAAACTGTTAAAAGTTATGTCAAAAAAAGATAAATAAATATATACATGCTTCATAAACAAATACATAGAATATGATGTAAAATAATGCTACTTTCCAGTTTTTCCACCATATCAGTTGGGAAGTGTTTGAAGTATTATGTCAACTAAAACAAAAAATGTAATACTTGTTAGTTTATTTTTGTAAAATGATCTTTACACAAAAATATACACAAGTTATCCGATCATATCTCGAGAGAAAGGAACATATGGTAAACCAGATAATGAAGATATTTTTACTTCCTGTTTTATTCGTCATCGTCTAACTTTATATCTGATAGTCTGATGAGTTTGATATGAAAGGTCCAGCCAGAGATCAAGTAGCCCTACAACTCCCCTTTCTTTGTTTATTTCTATGAATAAATTGAACTCTTTTAGTAATACTAAATGTAAAATGTTGGGTTAAAAAATGCAGTTTGTTGCATAGCAGGGCCTTTTATTAAAGCAATAAATAACATAAAAGCGCACTTAAAAAAAAAAATCGAAATATGACACTTTAAATATATGAACTTCAAGTTTTGAAGCAAAAAGGTTTTTGTGGCAGAAAAAAACCCTGAATATTGTCTAAAAAAAGACTTGTCTATACATTCATTTCCTTTTCACTTGAGCGTAGAGGTCCTCTGGTCTGTTTGCTGTCTCTGACACTTTGACCTCAGCGTACAGCGTGTCCTCCGTCTGTCCACCGTCCTGCTCTGAGACAGGGGGACTTTTATTCCTCTGCTTGGAGAAGTCGATCTCTCCGTAGTGGATTTCTTCTCCTGTTTCTGTTGCTGCAGCTGATTCTTGGACAGCTGTTAGCATCTGCGTATCATTGATTTGTGTCTCATGTTCTCCCCTGATCTGCCCCCCCTGATGAGAGAAGTTGAGAAATAGAAATAAGAACTCTGATGAAACACCATGACAGTGGTTCATTGTGCCACATTTACTCACAGATAAGGAACTTAGTCAGTGCAGTCTCCAGTCTATTTAAGAAAGTGTTCACAACACATATATGTACTGCAAATTTGAGTATTTCCTCACCTGTGACTGTTCTTGAGTTGTATGTTTGGACTTCAACCACCTGGAAGAGATAAAGAGCGGTCAGCTTCATGTAATAGACTTTGATATTAAATTGATTTGAGTTACTCACCAAACAGCAACAGCAAAACAGATGAGTATCATGATCCCAATGATCCCCCCAACAACTCCCCCCCATAGTGAAGAGCCATCAAGCTGTACGGCTCCTACAGTAAAAAAAACATTCGTGGCTATAATCCAGATTTCATGTAGAGCTTGACTTCATACAGTATTTAGGAAACACAGACAATGATGAAGCTGAAACTGAAAATGTTTTCTCAGTTGATGAAATTCTGTTTTTAATTTTCTCTCTTCCTCTTTTCACTTTCCTTTCCAATTACAAATCTCTTTTCGTCCTATTTTATGTGGCCTAATTTGATGAAATCCTAATTTATCATTAATAGACCACATTTTTCTATGTAAATATGTTTTTTAACTTCCCATCAAACTCATTATTCCCATTTTTGCATTTATTTACATTGATGCATTAACTGCTTTATCCAACAATACCTGCTCCTATTTCACAAACGTATGCAGTACATTTCTGTGTTTACCTCCGTTAGCCAGCTGGATCTTTGGTGATGTTTCTTCACCAAGAGCATTTGTGGCCACACAGTAATAACGTCCTCCCTCTGTGGCATTAAAGCTGTAAATCTCTCCCTGTGAGACCTTCATGTCTCCATCTTGGCTCTCCTTGAACCAGGTGAAGCTGCTGACGGGAGGCTGGGCTCTGCTGGAGCAGCTCAGCTCCACCCAGCTGCCCGCTGACACAGAACCTGAGGGCCGACTGACGGAGGCGAAAGTGTCCTTAGGAGCATCTGAGGAAAATGTGAGATTAACTTCATTCAAATCATACCATCATGTGCAGACAATCACAGGTTGTTCTTACATGAAACATGGAGAGTCATTGTCTCCTCTGTCTTCACATCTTCCCCTTCATTCAGAGGATAGCTGGCAGAGCAGGTGATGTTGAATCCATCATGTTGGTCTGTCAGAGTGAGGGTCTTCTGGATCTTAGTCGTCAAGGTCCGATCTGGGTTTTCCTCCATTGTGTTGGGAGGGTCTTGTTGGAGAGTCCAGGTGAGTTTAGGAGGGGAGTGTGGACAGGGAGCTGGAGCTGAGCAGGTTACAGTGACAGACTCCGCCTCCTTCAGATCACCTGGGATCTCAATGGTGGGGCTCGGAGGAGAATCTGTGCTTTTACACATTGTAAATGTAAGGATACAGGCCAATACAGTTTTCAACAGTAATAAAAAAATGCACATCTTATTGTAAAACTTGAAAAGAAAGATCAGTCAGCTGCATCCTTAGTAGATGTTGTCATTCACCGGTCACCACATGACCTCATATCTGTGCATGTAGACGTGCATTATTTGTAATAGTAATGCATACAATATGATATACTGTAATATATCTGGATTTAGCAGGTTTCAGATATTATGACTTTTTGATTGTCTGAATAATTTCTGTAATAACTGATACATTGATTATCCTAGATGTATAGTTTAACAATAAAGGTAAGACTACTCCAACAAAGAGTCTCTTACCTTTCACTGTTATTTGAAGAGGATCACATGCAGCTGTTGCCTTAAATGGGCTGTTCTCAATCCTGAAGAAGTATTTGTCTGTGTGACTCTTTTTCAAACTAGAAAACAGAGTGGTGCAGTTTCTCTGTCTCAGGTCTCCAGTAATACTCATTGGATATGTGTTGATTGTCCCATCACTGTGGAAAATCACGTTTTCTTTATTTTGGCCAAAGTTGGGTTTTTTTTTAATCCACACTCCGAAGATGTCTCGTGAGCTGTTGAAGCCCACATCTAGGCCAGGGCTGAAGTTACACGGGATCAGCAAACAGGATCCACTCAGTGCTTCCATCTGCTTCGGGGTGGTGATGCGAAGGTGCTCACAAGCACCTTCAACAAGATGTGGGAGAAAATCTGCAGGAAGAAAAAAGAGCATATTAACAAACTGTGTCTTGTAAGCAAATTGTATACAAACTCAGGATGTGAACAAAGGAGTCATTCTGATATTTCTGCTTTTTCTAAGTAAAGACTGTAAACTATTAAAGTAACAAACATCTCACCTGAAACAAAGAGGACTAGCAGCAACATGTTGGTCACCATATTCAGGATTCTGGATTTACAAACAAAAGAACACTGTTACTTTTCATTTGTGTTAATCATATATCGATTCAGTTTTGACAATGTGCCTTTTAAAGCAACTTCCCTACTTCAGAGGAACCACAGAAACCTGCCCTGTACAACCAGTTAGTTTTTGACACTTTCAATTTAAAGGCTTCTGCAGTATTATGCTTTGAAATAATGAACAGAAAATATAAACAATACAATAAAAGACAGAGTTCAGTCAAATGTTTCCTTAGCACATGAGCCCACAGCTAGAAAATAAGAAAACGTAAAGTGTTCTGGCTTGAGTCAAACCTTTTTATGTTTAAGGGAACTGAACTAACCACGAGCCGCTGTAATCTAAAGAAAGAGGATTTGCTGTTGAAGAAATGTTTGCCTTTTATGGAGGCAAAACGAGTAGAAATCACATTACTACATTTACTGCAGTTTTTACCAACGCTGCACTTTTCCTGTGATAAAAGATGAACACCACCCTTAACAGAGGTAGAACAATGCACAATCATGTTTTTTTTGTTAATTTAATGTTTAGTTTTTAAAGTGGATGGTTGTAAAAAATGTGGTCGATGTTTGGAACCCTTCCATAGCCGAAAACAGTGAAAATGTAGTCTTCTCCAAAGGGGGCCATGTATGCCTTATCACATGTTTCTCTGGAAATATTGACCAGAATGCCATCACCTTTGAACTAGTCTGTCATTATTAAAACAATCACACACATATTTAATTCAAATGTACCAGAGATTGTTCTCTTCTTTCTTAAAAGTAGGAAGTAAGGAAGTGAGACATTTTTAGGTTTCAAAGGACATGAGTCATGCCGTGAACAAAAATAATGACATATTTCAAGAGCAGGAAATATTAACTTTATTTTATTCACAATGTTGATTCTTACCATTTTAATTATCAAAATATATCATCATCAAAACAGTAACTTAGATATCTGATTGTATTTGTATGCATAACACTCAAAGCTTCTGCACAGAATTCTTTTTTAACCCCTGATTTGTTTTTAATTTAACACAGTTCACATGCATCCAACAGAAATACAAGTTAAGCAAATACAAGGTATAAGAACAAAATAAAAATCATGTGCCATGATTACGTTTAACGTGAGACAAATTAATGAAGAACATTTGACTTGTG